CACTATTTGGGAGCCCCTAAATAGGTGTTAAAAGAAATTGTAGCACGCTTTTATCAGTCCACTGAGTATTTTGGATTATGAAGGCACAAGGCAGCAGCCTTAGTGACTTCAGCAGGGATAATAGTAACGTTAATGGGGCATTCTGCAGAACTAATGACTGAAGCTTTGCTCATCTAAGCAGGTCACCTTGAACAGGAAGAAGTGCATGTAAACTGTAGCCAAAATTTTGAGAAATATGTCCCAATTTTCAGCTACACCACATCTGACAAATGTTCCTTGGCCTTATTTACTACTGAAGTAGTGGGAAACTTTCCATTTACCTTAGTGGGCAGAAGGTGTCTTTGGCCTCTTTTCCTGGAGGTCTTGTACTCTGCAGGAGGGAAATGGATGTCAGAACCTCTGAAATGTGAGATTTGAGTTTTCAAATTAAAAATGGGAGTGGGGGATGATTCACTTTACAAATAAATGAATCTCAGTATGAAGTGGGGTTTTTAGCGCAGAGGACAGAACCCAGGTAGTCTGGTTTACATGTTTATCCTGTAGGCATTTTTTTTTCATACTGATTGGGCTCCAATAGTTGGGTGTCATTTCCTGATTTTTTTATTTGAGAAATACAGCTAGAAAATAGCATGTGATTAAAACATTTTCTAAGCTCTAAAAATATACAAAAATATTGGAGAAAGAACAACTCTTTTAAAGCTTGAGGCTAGAAACAGAAAATCACAGTGGTCTTATGTAGTCATATAGGGGGTGCAAATTTTGAATTTTATTTTTAGATTTATTTATTTTTAGATTTGAATGAGTACTGAACCTACATTCAAACGGTCTGAATGGGGAGGTGCTTTCCTTGGTCCGTGAAGTTGTAGGGATGAAACTCGGCACTGTTGTGAGGGTCTCGTGATTAGCCGGGCCTGATGCAGGTCACCAAGGTGTGTATTAATGGCATTTCTAAAATCCCAAAATTGGGAATTAAAAGTTGAAAAAAGGGAAAGATTTGCTCAGTGCTTGCCAGGATTTGAGGTCAGGAAATTTGTTGCTTCCATTTTGTTGTGTTTTTTTTTTTATTATTTTTTACTATTAGTTGCTACCATCCCCAGGTGAAGTGTTCTTGGTTCAAGCAGCTTTTCAAGAGCTGTTGAGCATTCAACCCTGTGGGTTTGGATTTCACATCAAGAAGAGTTTGTTATACTCAGGAAGAAAGGTGATATTTAGCCCGATAAAATTTCGTATTCTTGCTTGACAGGGTTAAATGGGGCTGTTTTGATTTTGCCCTTGATAGATTTGTCTTTGCTAGCGATGAAGCCAGGCAACGTGTCAGTTAGGAAAATAACTGCATGAAGTGTAGTGGACACACATCTCTGGATTTTGTTCTGTTATTCGTTGATCACCATGTTTCATTGATCTCTAAAGCACTTACGCTATTAGCATCTATGTTTAAAGTTTGCTTTGGCCAAAATCAGCTTCCTGTTATGTTTTTTATTGCCCATACATCTGGCAAGGAGCAAACACTTCCTGTTTTGGAGCACAAGCTCCATCAAGTTTTAAAACCATAATAAACAAGAAAAAAAGCAAAGCAAAATATTTGCCATGGTGACAGATAATCCCAGTGGCAAAGCAGGCAGATAGATCTTTTCTAACTACTTTTCTAACTACTTTTGTGGCATTTCCTAGTGCTCCTTCATACTTTCTCAAGCTCTTGTGTGTGCATATGCTCTCTCACATACGCTGTTTAGTGCCCTTTCTCATGCTCTTGATCTGTTTCACATGTTCACATGCTCTCTCTCACGCATCCTTGCGCTCTCTTTTTCTCTTGTCTGCCCTTCTCATGTGGCCACCCAGCTGTGTACTGGCTGGTGTCCTATGCTGCTCTGGTGACTTGGAGAGGTGATCGGGTAGTTCATGTGTTGGTCAGCAAAATGTGTTGTCTACAAGTAGAGTGGAGTTGGCTTTCTGGTGTATTGGCTTTTCATGTTAAGTTTCTGACCCAGACAAGGTGGACAGTGTGATGTGGGAGATTTTGCACTGTGTTTACTTGAATTTTGAGGGATAGTTTCTGGTGTCACACAATCCCTGGATCCAAGATGGTGAATAACACTGTTGTGAACCAGAATGAATGCGCGTGCCAGAGCCTGCTGCTTCAAGTAGCAAATTTCTCTGTTGTCAAAGATCTCTCTGACAGCTATTTCAGAAAAGGAGGATTCACCTGACTCTCATACCTTTGAGGATTTGCATACTTTGTTTTGTAGCTGCTTGAGAAAACCTTTGAAACTTGAGCTTGAAAAAAATATAGCAGGTTTTTTTCTTTCCATTTTTATCTCCCTCCCCCCCCTCCTTTTTTTTTGTACAAGTCTAAACTAAATTCTGACACCACAGCTCACTATAATGGCCTTCCCTTCACACAAGATACTGTAATACTGCTACTCTCTCATCTACCGTTTGTCCTTTTGTTTTATGGCTCTCTTTGTTGCAAGCTTCTTTGTTGTTTCTTCCAGATTATGCTCCTCAGGGACTTTTGTATCAGTATGACTGAACATTGCTTGCAGCCATGCCAGATTGTGCTGTGATCTTATTGGATTTCACAAACCAAGGTTAGGCCAGGTCAGAACTTGGTTGAAATAACGTAGACTACAAGATTGCTTGCTAGCCACTGGGAACACGCACAGCAAAAACCTGACCTAGATGCTGATTCAGTCAGCTGAGGCCGACAGTGTTGCCTTGCTGATTGTGGTGGATGTGATATAAAGAAATTCTGACTGGTAGGATTTCACAGCTTTTTAGCTTTTTTCTTTTTCTCTTTTTTTCTTTTTGAGAAAACTACTGATTTTAGTTCCAGTGGTCTGTCCTATTGCAAATCCTCCAATTCTCTGTCAGGATTACACTGTAATTCAACAGCACGTTATATTCTCTGATCTTCTTTTCCCTGTACTGTTGCATGATGTTTGCTGTTTACCCTCAAAAACTTGCTACTGCTCTCCGAAAAGCTGTATTTCTGTGCTGCGTGAAATAGTTTTGAATTTTTCCTTGCTTTCCTGGTTTTCTGAAGCAAAATGAAGTATAGCAGGGCCTTCAGATGAAAGGCCCCAGAAGGGTAGAATTTACTAGTAAAAGTAGCACACAGAAATTTGTAGCTGAGCTTTTCTTACAGTCGCTTGACATTTCTGACCAAAAGACTGTATGAAGATGAGTATGTTCAGACTTTGCTTCTCTGAGCACATGCTAGGTGGGAAAATGGCTTGCAATTATACTAGAGTGACCCAAAATTACGCACATATTTATTATATAGGTAAGGCTTTTCTAATTATTGTAATTTGGACCTTTTTGTTTTATATAGGAATAAGCTATTAAATATTCCCTTAAAATAAACCTATAAGAGGCTAGAGAATGAACATCGAAAAGTACGTGATGGTGTGAAATAAGGGCCAGAATTAGTTTGGGCTACATCTACCGAACTTCGTTTCGTCCTACCCCACACTGAGCCTGAGGGAGGGCTGCTGGGGAGTTCCTTTGGCTGCATCTGTGCTGGAACAGTACTAGTGAAGTTGAGGGAAGAGAAGTCCTATCAGCCAGAGATATCTTGATGTGCACAGATGTGCATGGATAGACTTAGTTCTCTTAGAAAAGCTGAGTATCTAGCTAAGCAGAAGTTGTTGGGTATGATGTAGCCATTAAAGATATTTTAAATGTGTAAATTATGAAGCTGCAGAGGAGTTAGTTAGTAAGATATGAAAAGGCAGAGGTGACTAGGAGTCACAGAATTAAACACTTCAGCCTGGATCAGGAAAAACTTATTGTCAGTTTAAGCTGTAGAGTAATGTGACGTCTTTCTGTGAACATGTACAAGTAGTCTGAGGAATGAAGTCTAATGCGTCATACCTGCTGGGACAATTTGCTGTATCAGGGTGTGGAACAGATGACCAGGTGTATACTTGCCTGGAATATTCTCATCTTTTGAAGGTTTTTGGTTTGGTTTTCTCAGTCAGCATCTGTATTTTGAGTCTCCAAGTTGCTCTTTTTAACTGAGTGAAAATTTTGAGCAGCTTTACTTTTAAATCCAAGTTTATAAACATTTCTGCATAGAGAAAGTGGGGAATTTTAAAATGGAGTAGGAAGAGTAATATTGGATAGAAGTTGGGATTTGCAATATGATTGGAAGCTTTTGCCTGTTGGCACTGAGGTTACCCATAATTGTTCTTAAAAGATAAATTATCTCTGTCTCTGATAATCCTAATCGTTAGTGCAAAGCTTGGCACTGCCAGCAGAGATATGAAAGGTGTAGTGCAGAAGAAGGCTGAAAGAGTCTTTCATCTCTGCCATACCTTGCCAAGGGCTTACTCTACATGCAAATTCATCAGCTCTTCAATTGTGGAGCATTTATATATCCTGGAAACGGTAAAATCTGGTAGTTAATTGCTCTCTGCGCTCAGGGGGTCATTTTCCAGTGGAGGAATCTGCAGGATAGGACTATAGTGGCTGGTGTTGCTATGGCATTAATAAATAGGTAGGGGAATGTTCTGCAGAAGGATATGAAAGCTTTGTTGATTGATTCTTTTCCTACCTCCTCTGTCTTAGGAAGAACCAGCCTGGCTAATCTTTTTTATGAAAACAGCATGACTAATGTTTTCTTGCTGAACAGATATACTGGATAAGATTTTTTTATTGCTTTTGTTTTCAGCTGTTATTTACAGGATCAATAAAAGTGATTTTCCAATTCAAGGATCATTTTTTTACCAACAAACTGCATAGTCTCTAAGGTCAAAATATTGGATCTGCGCCTTTTCAGAACAAGTTAATTTTAAAATGATAAGTTGTTTCCAGTTCAGAATTAGTTTTTCGATGAGAAAGGAGGAATGCATCTGGACAAAACACCTTGTGGAGGAGAGAGATTACCTCAGAACAACATCATCACAAACTGCCTAGAGATGCTTTTATCTTCTTTTCTCTACCCAATGATCACTTAACTATACACAATAATTTAATGACAAATGCAATATAATAACAAAATGCAGAACTGTTTTGTTATAGCCCTGGTTCAGTTACTACTGAAGTCTGTGCAAATACACTTGTGGACTTTACTGGGCATTGACTGGTGCCTTCCGTAATACTTTATGACCGTTGTGACCATAGAGAAGATTATTTCATGCCATTGTGGCAGCATTCCAGGCCGACAGCAAATGTGTTCAGGCATATAAGTTCAAATGCCATTCATTCCTTTGGCACAGTTATTATAGATGCTTATGCGTACACACATATTTTAATAGTCTTTACGTTCCTCCCCTCTGCATTTACCCCATTGCACACTCAAGATAGGAGTCTCCATTCTAAAAGGCCTTTCACTATGAGACTTCTGCAGTTCTGTCTGTATGGTTGGGGTAGGGTACAGCTTTAAATGAGTAAAATCATGCAGATATCATTTTATAAGCAGGACCCCACACCCACTATCAGTATGAATGTTGCAGGTTAAGAACAAAATAGCCAAGTAATATTCTTCTACTGGAATCACTACAAACGAACTTTACATGCCAGAAAACTTGCTTAGATATGCAGATTTTTATTTTTTTTTAAATGCAGTTTTTTAGATCAAACTCAACCCTTCCCAGGCCGCAGAGCATCACCAACCATAAGCAACATCTCTCTACTCTTCCTGTAGTCTAATAAAGACTAGGGGCTTTGGGATTATTACCTATAAAAAACCACAGTCTGTGGAAGTCCATGTAAAAATCAAATGCCATTAACTTTGAAAAGGTTTGGTTTTGGACCTAAAATACTGTAAATAATCATGTTCCATTTTTCTCAGGGTCTACACACCCCTGCATTTTATTCCTCAAGAAAGAAAAAGACATACATGCTTCATGATTCCCCCTTCCTCTTCTATATGTGGCATGTGGAGCTAAAAAAGAAGAAGGTTCATTGATTTTTTTATTGTTGGCGGTTTTTTTAGACAGAATAATTTGATGATGAAGTTTTCTTAAAAAAATTGAAATAAAAGATCTTTTTCTTTACCATGATTTGGGTAAAGTTTTCATTTTTTAGATAATAAATTGTTTATAAAGTTCCAGTAAGAATCTGGCTTTTGGATGGCTGTGTTGCTGACGAGAGCTACTGGCAATAGAGGCCTCTAACACTCAACTGATTTATTAAAAGAATAATAGGAACAGATGTTTTCAATTCATAAAATGTATCGAGTAAATGGTACATCCACTTGTTATTTCAATTCCTTTGAATTTTAGTGAACTCGTTTGGGGCTGGGTTTTCAAAAGGGCTTAGCCCACTGTCACCTCATTGTTCTCAATATAAACTGATGGATGATGAACGTGTTTGAAAACCGCAGCTTTTTGTGCCTAAAGGGGAGCTGGTAACTACTGATGCTTCTAAAAATCTGGCCCGTGTTTCTGATGAGTGAATACTGATCATTATAGAGGATTCATACATGCAATCTCTGAGTAATACCCTGCATTTGGCTGTGATTGTATATATGATGACTTCTTACTTTACTATTGCGCTAGGCACTTTAATTTAAATTATGCTAATAATGTAGGATTAACTGTGGATTATGATTCTAGCATTTACTGTCATGCAAACAGAGGAACCAGTTCTTTTGCTCCTACAGCCTCTTTCTCCTTTCTCATCCAGGTGTATAGTAATTTGTGCTCAACACTGGCCTCAGATTTTGTTGAGGTTTTTTTTTTTTTTAAACTGGTGCAGTTGTTTAGGGAAAGGGATTTGTTAAAAACTAGAAAAAGAAGAGACTGGGATCTTTTTATCTTCTGATGCCACATTTATATGGTGCTAGAATGATTTCCTGAAAACAGTGATTTGAATGGGCTCTTGCCAGCATTGGACAGTGAGCAATTCTGGTTTTGCCTTCATTCCTCTGTGGTGGGACAGGCTACATGTATTTTGCTTTTGCACTCTTGGCTCAAACACGTATTTGGAAAAACTAGTGCTAGAAGGTTATATTAAAGTCCTTATAAAGGGCGAAGAATAAATAATACATGCAACAGGACTGAGATATTATGTTGGTCCTTGCTAGAGGAAATAGCAGGAGGCCAATGCTGTTGCTGTCTCCAGTGCCGAAAAAAGCTCTGTTGAAGTTGCTGTTCCTGAAGCCCAACCTCTCCAGAGACCTCTTCCACTCCCAAATTGCAGATGTGCTGGAAACATGAATGTGCCTCGTTATGTTTGCACTTGTTCCATTGTGTAGCGACCTCAGATGGTAGTGGCATGCAGCCTGTTTGCATTAGTGCCTTGCTGTACAATTCATCTGTATTCCTTCAAATCCCTCATTTGTTGCATTTTTTTGTAGAGTGCTTGATATTTCTGGTGGCTTTGTGTTGTAGTATCAGTCTAAAATTTGCCTTTTTTCTCTTTTTCCCTCCAGCTGATATTATTTCTACAGTTGAGTTCAACCACACTGGAGAACTGCTGGCTACTGGTGACAAGGGTGGTCGGGTTGTTATATTCCAAAGGGAACCTGAGGTATGTGAGTTGCAAATGTAGTCCTTAATGACTTGCTAAAACTTGGCCTTATTTTTAACACTTTAATTGGATCGTAGCTATCAAACATGTTTATAACCTCAAGGTTTGGTAAAACAGAATATCCTCTTTTCAGAGAGGAAGTGAAAGAGGGTGAGGATTTTTTACTCGGAAGTTTACTATCCCAAACAAAAATGCTTCAGAGCTCCAAAACTGTAGGCTAAGAAAAAAAGAAGGTTGTTTTTGTTTTACTTCTACATTGTTTTAATAGCTTTTGCCTGTTCCATGGAACCACTCCATTTAAAACAATACTCTTATACCTTTGTTTCACTTCTAAGTTTAGTCCATGTGCAGTGTCCTTTGTGGCAAGCTTTCCTGAATAATTGACATTTCTTCAAAAATTCTGCCTTTTATTAAATGTTGCTTCAATACTTACAGGAAATTTAATTCCTGTAGAAATAAATCCATCAATATCATGTTTTAAATAAGAAATTAAATTACACTTTCAATATTTTTATATTTATAAGGCTACTTATACACCTTTCCTAAGAGATAGAGATATATTACCATCATAAACCACATGTTTTTGTTGTTCTTATTTCCATAGAGTAAAAATGAGCCTTACAATCAGGGGGAGTACAATGTTTACAGCACTTTCCAGAGCCATGAACCTGAATTTGATTATCTGAAGAGCTTGGAGATAGAAGAAAAAATAAACAAGATCAAGTGGTTACCACAGCAAAATGCAGCTCACTCACTTTTATCGACAAATGGTAAGATAGATGAAACTATACAGGACATATCAGCCTTTTGCTCTTGTGCATTTTAATGCTGACTGGATATATTTGTTCATTTTAATCTACTGTTTTAGCAATTTTCTTCTGGGCTTTACGGAAGTAGTGATACTGACTCTGTTATTTATGTATTTTATTCATAGTCATAGGGTTTTTCTTACTGAGTATCCATGGACATTTGGAGAGCTATCCATTTTAGCTATTAACGTGCAGTACTACCCTGAAATAAATTTTATGACAAAGGCGTCACCTTACTCAGCAGCTGTGTTTCACTAGTTATTGGAATTTTTTCTACTATGTTTGTCATACGTTTTTTTCTTTGTAGATGTGTAAATGAATGTAGATGTGAGAGATGAATTTTTTTTTTTTTTCATTCATTATCATCAGAATGGTTTATTTAAGTTCTAAAGTTACACAAATCTTTGGAAGGCAGTAGGAATAATAATAGGATATTGATACTGACTCATCTTTCTAACATGTGTAAGGCCTATTGATCAAAAAATGCAGTATTATTGCTAAGAGGGGATATGCAGATGTGATGTGGAAAAAGAAACTGAATGGAGCCTAAAATGTGCAAGTGTCAAATAGGAATCATTTGGACACCCACAACCTGTAGTACTGCTGGTGATGCACGAGACAAAAATACCTAATTTAAAATCTTAGATCTCATTGTAATCAGAAAATATTTTTTTTGTTGTAGAAGTTTAAGCATAATTGGGCATTGCTGATAAAAAAAAAAAGAAGTGTAATCTCACTATTGGGAATGGATGCTTTAGGGCAAAGTTATTACTTCTAGTTAAAATTTATAGCATTAAATAATATTTACAGTAATTCACAGTAGATAGCAAATTATTTTATGTTTTGTAGTCTGTTTTCCTTATAGTTGTCTTTTGACTTTTTAGGGGCACTGTTGCATTATTTGAAATGAAACATATCCGTTATAGCTAGGTGATTTGTGCTAATTAATGATTAGTCAGCTAATTAACAAAGTTCAGGAGTTTACTTCTGCTGTTCTCTCTAAGCCAAAATGTCCCTTCGTAGGTAACTGTAACTAAGAATGAATTCTTCCATGATACAAAAGCTAATTATTAAAAGTAAACCTCTCCCTTTTCATTTTAAAGTATATTTTTGGAAACACTAAGGAATCCAGCCAAGTCCTCAGATCTTCTGCTTTTACACTCGGCCTAATAGACCTTCATATCAGTTTTCTGGCTGATATTATCATGGTCTTAGTGTTGTTATGGGTTAATCCAGTTGCAGCCAACACTGAGCAAGCCTAGAACATGGCAAAATACTTTGGTCTCTGTTTTTCCCCCTTCTTAATTCTGGAGCGTCCTGGCAGACCTCTTTATGGTGACAAGAACAGAAGCGATGCCACTAGAGGAGCCTTTGGAGATTGGCTTTGAATTACGAATCATTTTTGTGTGCCAAGGAGGATTCTTAGCTTCCTGGCATCGCAGCTTTGAAGTCTGAAAGTTGACTTCTTGGCATATTCTTACAGGTAGTTTTAACGTCAGGGTAGAGAAGGCCCACACTGAATTCCTTGCAATCTCACAATCACAAGTCACTGGCACTATATCAGTTCTGTGCCTCTAAAGAGGGATCACAGTATTTTCCCCAGCTTGGAGAGAATGAAGTCATTACCTTTCACATGTCCTCATATGGGGCAGGTCATGGAAACATCCTGAGTACTGATTTATATTTACTGATTTCTGAGCCTCTGGTAGCTTAGGATCTAAAGCACAGTTTTGGTCAGAAGAATAAGAACTGTGAAACAGCATCCCTGCTTTCCGCAGGCACAGGTGGGCAGTGCCCTTTGAATTTGCTGGAAGGAGCATCTCTTTGTTAGAAAACACGAGGGGAGAGTCCGTCTAAATCTCACCCTCAATATATGAGACTTGACAGGTCTGCACCTGCCCAAATCTGTTTCTGTCCTTCTAAGGGAGACTTTTGTCTGAGGCTGTTTCTGCACAGGTCACCTCTCTCAGAGGGGGATCTTGGTTCCTTTCCAGTTCATGTGTTACCAGCAAGTCGTCAGCTGAGTTTTGATTGCAGTGTTTTAATTAATGGAGGCAGAAGGAAACCACTAAGGGTTTTGAATCCCACTGTGGATTTGCAGTGTTTGCAGTTAGCAAGTTTCTGGTTTATGCTGTAAACTGAAGTGATTTTGTACTATAATAATAAATTATTAGGATTCATTGGTATCTTTTGTACCAGAATATATTGGGGCCACTTTCGATGTGAGCTACATCGGGTAGATCAGAATTTAGCCCATACAGATCCTTTCATCTGAGGATTTCAGACTGCTTGTCAAACATTAATTAATTTAAACTTCACAATACCCTGGAGCCTGAATGAATACTGAACCTTACGGAGATGTTTCTGTATTTTGCAAAATAAAAGCATGCTTAGACTTTCTAGGGAGTTTTTAAAGTCCAGAGGCAGATGAAGGAGAAAACCAACACATGTGGTACCCTTAACCATTAATAGTTTTCCTCAAGAAAGGGATAGGCTTGTCAATAGATGTTAAGTCTAACAATGGAAAATTGTTTGTGTTTTTTCCTATAATTCATTTTAGAATTGCTATATTTATAAATTTTTTAATAGATAAGCAGGAACATGTTATTTACATGTAATAATCCCAAATGCATGACATGACCTATATATGGTTTTACTAATTAATTAATGTGATTGATACAAATGAAATGTATTGAATATTTAAATGGGGCTTTTTAGTGGCAAATTGGACTAACCTCTCATTCTGTATATTTTTGTTGCTTGGAAATTAGTGTATCAATATCATTAGGAGATGCATAATAGTGAAAACAGAATAGTGGAGGGATTGATTTTGAAATAAAAACCGGCAAAATTAAAGTTGGTATAGAAATGGAAATTGATTCATGTATTCATATATTCTGCCTTTAAAATGATTTATACTAGCATTTGAAAGAAGTATTTGGATCAGCCACACTGGGGCAAGAATTATGCTCTGCTACGCACTTGAGGAAAGAGGGGTAGCGGAAGAAGGTGGGATAAAATGATGGCAGCTGAAGTGCAGTTTTAGGAAAAGCTTTGGCTGCTCCATGAACAGATGAGCAAAACAACCATTAGAAGCTTGGGGACAGATTTTTTTTCAGAAGAGTTGGCATTAATTTTTCAGCCTAAGGTTTGTTGGGTTTGGCAGGTTGAGTGGACGATCAACATTAGGGAAATTGGGAGCTTCTGCTGCTACAGAAACAAGGACAAACTCCATCTGAAATGTTTAAAACTTCTATTTGTTGGCTTCAGAGGCTCTTTGCTAAACAAGGGGGATCCTTATTCTACCATCATATGCTTCACCCATCATGAAAAAGAGGAGATTAGGTTTAATTCTATTCCATGTAAGAAAAGTGTATTTTTCTCCACCCTCACAGCACAATTCCCTCGTGGTTATTTCTCAGCTGCTTTTCCTTAGGAGGGAGAAATGTCTCATTTTTCACACATCCTTACATTTGTTCTATCTCCTGATGTTACATCAACACAACACTACCCATATCAGTGGTCTGTCTACTCCAAGCTCTTCTTGTGCTTTTTATAAGTAACCTAGCAAACTGGTTTAATATCAAGATTATTTCCTTGCAAAGTTAAGTTGTCAGACTGATCTTCAGCAGTGAGCACTGAATGTTTCTGGTGTGTTCCACCAGCAGCGTGTGCTCTACATGCTCGACATGAACTATCAGGTGCCAGAAACATCCAACTCGGTTTGAAGGTCTGGAATGTGCTTTATGAATATATTTTTCTGTTGGAGACATTTTCTGCATGTCCAAAATTCACACTGTTGCAGCGTGGAACTTGCCTAAACCAAGATGTAGAAACCACATTCAGAATTCCTATGCTGACAGTTGTTTGTCATTTCTTTTAAAGATAAAACGATCAAGTTATGGAAAATTACTGAAAGAGATAAGAGACCAGAGGGGTACAACTTAAAAGATGAAGAAGGAAAACTTAAAGATCTTTCTACAGTAACATCACTGCAGGTAAGCTTCTGTCTTTGTCCAAAATCTATCTTTTTTCTGTACAAAGAAGGTAGTCATGGGTGCTAACTCAGTTAAAGGTTTAAATGTGTACCTTATGTTAAACATATATATGATTATTCTCATTGAAATTTTAGCTGATTGACATCGGTCTTGAATCTGTCACAGATTTTAAAGTCACAAATGCTTTATGGTATAGTGACCAACACAAATACATTTAGAGAGTTTATGTCAGTTTTATTCTTCCTGATAAAATTTTCTCATTGTGACTTCACATGCTTTCACTCTGGATTCTTTAGCCTGGTGTGCTGGAAGCGTTTTACTTGTAATTAGTATTAAACAGTGTTCTAATATCATTCAGAGCAACTGCGTTAAAGACAGTACACCAAATTTCAGTCTCATCTTTATTTCAGTAGTATAAAAGAATTATCTCCTGTCGGAAGAGTGGGTTTCGGAGTACTCTGTGCAGAATGTGAGATTCTGCATTGCTGAACAGGTGCAGTCATGGAACTGATATAAGTGTGTATGATAATGTAATAGATTTTTGCTCTCAGACTTTAATGGCCAAATCCACTCCACGTGTTTTGGCAAAGGAAGTGGCTGAAAGTTAGAACTGGAAGACTGTGTTGTATAAAGACTGCTGTTTCTTTATTTTTAAAATCAAACAAGCATCCCTCACCTCGAAAACGAACAAATGCTGCCTATAAAATAGCCTCCAAAGTTTAAAGATGACTGTGTTAATGGAATATTCAGCTATTGTGTATGATTAGGCAAACAAAACTATTTCAAGTTGCTTATAGTCTGAGAATTCAAAGGTTGAGCAAACTATTATTTTTTTAGTAGTAAGCTAAACTCAAAGCTTTAACTCTCTGTGTTCCTCTTCAAACCATCTTATGGATTGATGTATGATGATAGATTGTTTCTGATGCGTGTTTAGCAACGTCACGTAGCCCCGATCTTGGACCACAGCCTTACAGTGTTTGATGTTTTACCAAAAGAATTATAAAATCATAGAGCCATAGAGTGTTGAGTTGGAAGGGACCTTAAAGATCATCTAGTTCCAACCTCACTGCCTTGGGCAAGGACACCTTCCATATACAATAGGGAATAAATTGACGGTGTCTACTTATTGAAGCATGACATTGAAGTGACGCACAGGGAAATAATGAGGGTGCAATGATGAGTGATAATCTATGGTCTTGGCTTTCTGGGAGTATGTGTGTATGTACGGTATGTCAATACACATGTTGGGTTTGTTTTGCAAGACTTTGTTTATTATGTTTTACTGAGATTATAGCCTTTACACCACTTGACTTTTTTGAAAGAGAGGCATCAAGTAGCAAAACAAGTACTCTAAGTGGTTTACAACTAACAGCAAACTCCTCAGTAGTAGGACTTTATTGCTTGTCAGAGCCAGAACCTCCTGCATGTGGGATAATAGCTCCTGCTGTGGGACTGGCCTGTTCCGTGGCAGCTGCCAGTGCCTCCCTTCCCACAGGCCAGGCTTTCCAGAGCCTCCCTTCCCATAGTCCAGGCTTTCCGTGGTTCTGCCTAGCTCTCCATGGCTCTCCTGTTACTCCCTTCTTCCTTGGCAGGGATGCCCTTGCCCAGCAGTTATTCATCCATGGAGAAATTCAGCTTGCAAACTCTGTTGAGAGCTTCTATATCGTCACAGTCCTTGAATGCTTGCTCTCTGTTGAAACTCATATCATACTAGCAAAAAATATTTTAAATCTTACTCTCTTTCTGATTTGTATTTTGTATTGTTTTTTTTTTGGCAGGTGCCTGTATTGAAACCTATGGATTTGATGGTAGAAGTCACTCCCCGGAGAATCTTTGCTAATGGTCACACCTATCATGTCAACTCAATATCCGTCAACAGTGACTGTGAGACATACATGTCAGCGGATGATCTCAGGATTAACCTCTGGCACTTAGCAATCACAGATAGGAGCTTCAGTATCCTTTATTATGGTTCTTCGCTCGCTTTTGATAGTATCAATGGGCCTTAAGAGAGCTGTTCTAAAATAGTTTTCCTGCAGACTTTAAAATATATCTTTCCTTATCAGAATCCTTGCAGTGCTTGTAGGAGAAAATGCTCAGGTATCATAAGAGATAGCTAAAAAAAAAAATCAGGGAATTGCAAAAATCAGGGAATTTTATGTGAAAAATAAGCTTTGAGGTTGGTTAATGATGAGTAAATAGGAAACTGATACCAGCTGTATGGTAACTACCCACCTGACTAGAATGCTTTGTGTTGTTATTCACTGAAGATATTTTGTGCTGAGCTACTCCACCTCGTTTTGCTGAGAGGTCAGTCCCTACCCTAACTGTGCCCCTGTTCTCCATCATCCTTCTTCCCAGAATGCTTCCTAATGCCTGAGATGTGCATGGTTTGGGGGTAAGGCTCAGCTGCTTTGTGTGAGTTGTTGTCGCTGTGATTAATGCGGTCATTGCTGCATCAAGTGCTGGCAGCATCCTGAAAGCTGTCTTGTGGGATCTCATCTGAGAGGCTGCCCTTTGCTCTGCAGCAGGGTGGCTTGGAGGAGGAGTGAAAGAAAATGTAGCCAAGAAAAGTGATTTGCTGTGTTTTGCAGAACGTAAAAGGACCAGTAAGAAGAGAAATAGGTTATGGGCCCAGCTCAGAGTGTTGTATTCCTTTGGTGATTTGTTTTTAAGTATTTCAAAATGAGTTAGAAGAATATTTCTCTGTGGATTTTTATGAGGGATTATTGGACGCCCAATGAAGTTGTCCTACTTGGGGCACAATCCTAAAAGTAAGGACCAATGTGACAAGTAGTTCTCTCTGTCTCTGGTGATTGTATTTCTTCCCTCATAGGCCAGATCATCTTTGGAGCTTAAGCTATGCTTTGTTATTGTCACAGGAAACATTCTTATTAAATCAAACAACTTTTAGTGTCCTTAAGTGTCCTTTAGTGTCCTTTGCAGGATCAAGCAGCATGTGCCTTTACCTGGGAATTGTAGGGAATGTTGCCTCTGTTTGTTCCCGAACTCATATTTACTATCTTAGAATAGTAGAATCATAGAATCACAGAATGGCCTAGGCTGCAAGGGACCTTAGAGATCATCTAATCCAACCTCCCTGTCACGGGCAGGGATGCCTCTCAACTAGATCAGGCTACTCAAGGCTCTGTCCAACTTTGCCTTGACCACCTCCAGGGAGGGGCCAGCCACAACTTCTCTGGACAATTTCTTGCAGACTCTTGCCACCCTTGTACTGAAGAATTTTTTCCTAAGATTCAATCTGAATTTGTTTTCGTTTAGCTTAAATCCGTTTCCCCTTGTCCTGTCGGTGAACACTTTTGGAAAAAGTCCCTCTCCAGCCTTCCTGTAGGCTTCCTTCACGTATTGGAAGGCAGCTATAAGTTCTCCCCGCAGTCTTGTCTCTTCAAGACTGAACAATTGCAGCTCCCGCAGCCTGTCCTCGTAGCAGAGGTACTTCAGTCCCTGGATCATCTTTGTGGCCCTCCTCTGAACATGATCCAACAGAGCTATGTCCCTCTTGTGGTGGGGGCACCAGAACTGGACGCAATATTCGAGGTGGGGTCTCACAAGAGCAGAGTAAAGGGGGAGAATCACCTCTCTTGACCTGCTGACCACGCTTCTCTTGATGCATCCCAGGATGTGGTTGGCCTTCTGGGCTGCATGAGCGCACTGACAGCTCATCTTTCACTGTTCTAGATTAAACAAGCTAAATAGTGCCCTCTTTAATATGACTACTTATATAGGACCAATTTATATGTGTTTCTTCAAAGTCTGGCTGTGTCTGCCTTCAATATCCAAGCAACTGCACTTCCATTCTTTAGCAAGAGAGAACAGGGTGGGAAATTTTTCTGACAGCACGCCTATATGGAATAGCAGTGTGGTTCCTGACAGTGTCCACCTCACTGTAGCTTCACCTTCCAGTCTTGTCTCTGTCCTGGACACTTTTATATGTGAATACTGTGTGTTGTCCTCTTTCTTCTAAAGCACAGTGGTGAGTCAGACCAAGCATAGCAATCTCTGTATGTCTGTGTATGATAACCAGATCATGTTCTAGAATACTTATGAAAGATAAGTCTTGCTTTTGGCAATCCCTTTTATTGTGCTAAAAACTGTTTTATGAACTATGGATTGCCAAAAGAAATGTTCCTGACAAATTTCAAAACCCCAAATAGTTATAGTTCACAAGGACAACATGAGTTTTTATTAAGTCATTTGCCACACTAAGAGCTTACTAACAGAAATATCAGCCCAAACTGAATTTTTAAACCCCAAATGTTTGTAAATCCTTGAAAAGAAAAGGCATACTATGGGAGTATTGATACAATCAGAACAAAAATATCGTGAATATGGTAATGTAAAACAGTCCTTAGCATTTATGCAGTACTTTTACTTTCACATTCTTTATATATGTTGATAAATGTATCCTGAAAAGAAATTAAGGGTTTGGTAGACAGATGGGTTTGTCTATTTTGTGGGTGAGGAAATCAAGGCAGATAATTTAAAGAAGCTTCTTACAAAAACTGTAATTTTCATAGCCCTGATTAAATAGCATTTAATTTCCCTTTTGTATGAAAACACCTGTATGCAGGCTTCAGAAGCGCTTGGCCTCCAGTGATGTTGTAAATTCTAGCAATATACTAGGAAAGAGATGAAAACCAGACTTAGTCTTACAGTCTTAACTACTACTACTATATGTCTTGATGGAACAGCATGGATAGCAAAATTATTTGAGACTGAATAAGCATTTAGAATATTACTGCTTCTCCTGTATGTTCAACTGTTATATTCAGTGACAGCTATGTGGACTCTGTTTCAAACAGTAGCACAGTTCTATTGTTGAATATTTACTGATAAAAAGTGTTTTAGAGTTTCTGATTGTATCATTGATTTAACTCTGAAAACATTTATAGTGGCACGCTCAATATCTGAGTATGCTGTAAGAGTGATGACAAGTGTGTTTCTGAATTTTAGGATAGGGAGCTTTTCCTCTATCTGAGACAGTGACTTTGGGATACTTATGTAAATGACTTTGGGATAACTGGATACCTACCCTGGATTTGGATACAGATATTGCTGCTTCTTTTAAATGCACATGAATGAACTTCTGAGAGGACTATGATGAGAGAGTTTTGGCAGTGATCGGAGACAACACTGGGTCTTGATTAGTGCTAGGGCCTGGATACTGATTCATGTTCAAGACAGTGCACCGAGCCGAATATGCTGTATCCACTTCTGTTTCAAGTAATATAAGCTGTATATGTAGTCAGTTGTCCAAACCAGATCACCAGGCGGATTAATTTTACTTAATTCTTTGATAAACAGAAAAGTTGAGATAGGTGTCCCCAAAGAAGATGAGATAGTTACAGAATATTCTCATATTGGGGAATAAACTGTGAGACAATGATAACTGGAAGAAGGAATTGAGTACTTTAAACCTGCATCAGTCTTTTCACAGGTATCTTTTTGTCATACAGAGCGCTGTAAGTCCTTATAATATTGCAGGGGCATATTTTCCACTGAATTTCAACATCTTGTCCCATAAAGAAACCTCATTTCTGTCCTACAGAAAACCCAGTTACATAAAACTCTTCTGGAAATAGATGAGCTTCTGATAAAAACCTGGTGTGCTGGTTGCGGTCAGGACTAGTCATCTTAAGATGAAAATATTCTGCTGAGCAAACAGTTTAAATTATAAATGAGTGTTTCTGGGCTTGGGGCCTTCTGCAACGCGCTTGGAGGGACAGGCAGGAGGAGGCTCAGGCAGTTTTAAAAATGCTTGCTTTGCATCTTTTTACTAGATACAAAATGGAAATTGAACATCTTGCTGTTTTACATGCAAGGCTTGATTCCTTGAAATACATGTTTAAAACAATAAATAGAAAACATTTGGATTTGAAGTGGCATTTGTTAATAAGGAATCTGGCACTGATATGTGTTTATCTTCCTACTTTCCCTCAGAGGCAGCACTGCTATGTATAATGAACTACAATCTGTTTACCCAAGAGGCTGGTTGTGACAATGACACAAACAAATACAGTGGTAGAGTTTCTGGATGTTCAGCTCATGTTTGAACATCTTTACAAACTGCATGGGAAGTGCTGGGGAAAGAATGGATTAGCAGCAGTGTGCTAGGGTGTTTTTCAAGTAACATACTGTGTCTTGCAGAATTTTATTTGAGAGCACTGAGAAATGTTCATTTTTTGAAAATGAAGAGTCAAAGCAATGCAGATCTTAAGTTAATTCTCTTTCTGTCTCCTTTGGAAAATATTTTAAATTAGCTTTGCAGAATTTGACCAGAATATTTGCCTTAAGTAAAACCTTAGGCAAATAAAAACACAATTGGTTTTCTGGTTTTCTTTTGTATTAGCATAAACACTAACCAGGGTAAAAAACAGACAGGTGAGTTTTATGCTATGGCTGTGTAAATTTTCCTGAGGAATGTACAAGATTTCTATACATTGCTTCGCACTTGCAAGCAGATTTGCTCAGTATCATTTGAGCAGGAGGAAACAAGGGAGAGGAGGATATGAGAGAAGAGGATGGTCAGCTGGTAAATGCACGTAAAGGCTTTGTGTGTTTGGTTATGTTGCAGAGAATCAGAGTCAATGTCCTTAATTATGGATGATGTTCTTCACTAGAAAAGAAGTGAGGTAAAGGTTGTTTTATTTGTTAATGTTCAGTCTGAAATGGCTTAGCAGGGTTGCCCATAGATTAAGCCTTTAGATAAGTCATCTTGGGTGTAGTGAATGAGAAAGCAGGACTGCTGGAAGCATACTGATAAGGCATACTTCACATCAGCAGCAATCTTTGGACTATCTAGCTGCACTAAATATTCTTTATGAGAATGTATTTGGATTGCTCGCAGAACTACGTAGCTCATAGCACTTGAACTTCCTTCATTTCCTGGTAGCACACTATTTCACTCTAGAGGCTGTCATGGCATTGCTATGGAA